AAAATATATGTAATAAGTGTATGCTATAGAACACTCTTCCGTGCATTAAAAATTATCGAAAATTCAGTGCAAGAAATCGTGTTGCTTATAAATAGCTTGAGTTCATTTTGAATGCGTTTTCTTAAAGGCAACACACTTTGAATGCTGAATTTTGAGATTGTTTTTAATGCACGAAATATATTTATTAAACTATTTCCAGAACAAAACAGAACAAGATAGAAATAATTTTCGATTTTTTATCGTGTCAACGTCGTTTTGGCTGTCAAGCTCAGTGCAATTTTCGCTGAAGTTTATTCTTATTGGGTTAAATTTTCAAAATCTTAATATTTTCTTGCTTCTTATAATGTGTCATTATTATATTTTTTTCAATTAATAAATTGAGTAAGTATAAAAAAATTGATAAAAATTGTGAAGATTTTAAAAGATGCTTAAAAATAGGATAAGCTGGTCGTAGAATAAATGATAGATGCTTCAAGAAAAATACCTGTATTTCTATAGATTTCAAAAATATAAAAAACAGTATATTCCTAATACATATAGAAAGAATAATATATAAACTACGGCTACATATCTTTATATTGGTTATAAACGAATGTTTTAATTCGAACCCAGTCTATATTATCAAAAGCTTTATTTTCTTTAAGCTTAAACTCTTCAACCTCATGCTTTTTAGGAACTTTCTTATTTTTTATAAAATTTTTGAAATATTTCAACATAATATCTTTTTCTTCCTTCTTCCAACGCTTTCTGCCCGCTGTCGCATCTAAATTAATTATTTTTACATATAGAAAATTATGTGCAGTTGTTTGATATAAAATCGGGTACACCCAGTTTTCCACTGTTTAAGTTTTACTTAGGTATTAATGCCACGGTGACGAACAACAAAATTCATATTAAATTTTTGCTGTCACGAAAAATGTCAAATATAAGTTTACCGTTCTTACAGTAATGAAATACCTACAAGCTGTAGGAAAATAAGGTGTTCAAACGTCAAAAAAGTAAGTTGTACATAGCTTAAATTTGAAAAAGATTTCCAGCTCTTGATTAGAAAAGCTGTTTGTACTCGATTTTATTGAAGCCAACATACATTATCTACAATGTGTTTCCCTTAAGGTGAATACACCTCTATATTTCAGTTATTACGGAAGCTATTAATTTCAGATTTCGTACAGCTGTACAACTCAACAAGGCTTATCGTTTCATGTAGTTAGGTACCAATTACCAATAATTACCAATAATTTATTTTGAAATCCCAACTCAATCTTAAGAGAAAACATGAAAATGAATTTTACGTCGCGATGAAATAAAAGTTATTAAAAAAAGTTGCTTAGAATCACATTTTAACGCGACGTAAAATACGGCAATTTCAAGTTTTTATTTAATTACAAATGGTGAGTTTTCGAATAAATTTTTTGAAAACTACAGGAAGAGATGCGCATCGTTCCGTTGAGTTGAACAACTGTGCAAAGTCTGAAATTAATTTCTTCAGAAATAACTAAAATATAGGGGTGTGTCCATCTTAAGCGAAACACACTGTAGATTAAATTTCTTAATTACTCGATTTTATTTTGTTATTAAGAATCCCATTTTCTTCTACAGTTTGATGTTCATTAGAATCCATATCTGGGTTTTCTTTTACTTTTTTTCTTCTTAGGTTATCTGTGTTTTCGAGGTTTTCTGTTTCTCCCTCAGAACTTGAATTTAAACATCTCTTTAAGCTATTTTTATTATCCAATTCTTTATTTATTTTCTTTGACTTGAGTGTAGTTACGTGTAATTCAGTGCATTCTAAAAGTTTAAAATAAATGTGCAAAATTTAGTTTGCAAAATATTTTACAACTCTAAAATATACCTTTTTTAGGAAGAGCCAAATTTGTTTCTTCATTTTCTAAAACATCTGTGTCATCTATAATAATGTCCTCGAGACCTTTTCCTTTATAAAGGTAAGCTTTTCCTTGGTCGATCATTGTTAAAAGCTTTGCCATTTTCGCAGTTTGGTAAACATCTTGCGGCAATCTATATCAATAATTTCAAATTAAATTAGAATCGCTATAAAAATTATTTGAAATCATTAAAATCCAGTACCTATAAATATAATACAAAACAACTGTTCTTCAAAATGATATTGATATAGTTAAAGCCAGATGTACATTTAAACCACATAATAACAAAAGATGGACATTTTTTAATACTTTGTTCAAAGATATATAAAAGTATAAAGATTTTTTTGTTTAGACAAAATTATTTGTATTTTTATCACTGATGATGTGGTTGAAATATACATCTGGTGTTAAATATACCAATTTTATTTTGAAAAAGAAGTGTTTTATATTATATTTATACAGGGTGAGTCATTAATAATGGTACACAGCTCAATGGCAGATTGTTAATATCAAAATATAGCGATTGAGCCAAATATGCCTTAATCAATTGTTGCTTCTTTTCGTTAAAGTTAAAAAAATATATTCGATTTTTTGCTATATTTTAAGTATGTATGGACCGATTGTTTTAAAAATTTGTAGTTTTGCGTTTTTTGAGGTGTCAAATACGAATATGCAAATAGTGGGGTAACGTCTAGGGGGCGTTAGTTGTACTGCTACTACTACTGTATGTACAAGATGGCGTCCTTCAGTATGAAGGACTCCATCTTGAAATTTTTAAATTGTCATAACTTTTAAATGCCTTAATCGATTTCAATAAACGATGGCTCATTTTAAAGAATTATTAATACAATTTTTAAAATTTATATTTATGATATGGGAATAAGAATATTATTTTCCGGCGCAACGGTAGACGACGCTAATGAGAAAAGTTTTGTAATTGTCTCCGTTTACTAAAAAAAATAAATGCAACCATATAGTTTTTTTTGTCATGGCTTGATAGACCATTCATTATGGAAAACAAATACACAAACTGGAGGTCGATATTTTCTTTCGTTTTCAAGTTATTGCTAAAATAGTGAGGGTGTGCTATAACATCCTCCCTTATTTAGTTCTCTAAATAACATCGACATAGTCCAAGCCAAAATTAAATTGTAAAACTATACCAAAAAAGTACTTACTATATTTTGATTTTTTTTTTATAACTGCAATGTTTCATTTTCTATTAATTCCAGTATTTATCATCGCATTTAGCATAGTCTATCGTTCCGCAGACAAATAATATTTTTATTGCCATATCATAAATTTAAATTTTATTAATGGTTCTTTAAAATGAGCCATCGTTTATTGAAATGGCTTAAGGCATTTAGAAGATATGACAATTTAAAAATTTCAAGATGGCGTCCTTCATACTGAAGTTACTATGGTAATAACAAAAAAAAAGTTAAAACAAAACTTGTGAAGGGTTTAACAGTGTATGTAAGTGAACTTTCAACTTAGGTTATATAAGCAAAATTTGAAGAAAACGACAATTTTCTGTAACACTATAGTAGTTGCGCCCCTTAGCGGTGAAGTTACAAACTTGAAAATATTTTAAATCGATTTCTTTTGGACGTATTTGCTAATAGATTTTTGACCCCATAATCGTAGCACGTCTAGTTTCCTATATACAGCCGCTCGATACCGTTAATGGATCACCCTGTACCATAATTATTATTAAAATCCACTTATTTCAATTTAGATTTGCTGCTTAGGTTCTTGCTGCATCGTAGTCAATATATAGTCTATAACTCAATAACAATCAATCTTGTTTACAGCCGTCTGGCAAAGTAGGTATCATTTTCCTGAATGTTATGTACTACAAATATTACGTACCTGTACCACTGATCGTGGGTTTTTTTAGTATGGCCCATAAAAAGTGCCAATTGTTCCATGTCATTTTCATTAATATTCATTATTTGTAAAATTGTCGCCGTTTGCTTTCTAAATTTAGTAGATGTTAATGCTTTAGGATTGTGTGCACCACAAGCAGAAGCAAAACTACGAATTACACTAGCACCATGAAACCATCCTTTATTTGAATCGGGATTTGCAAAAAGATATTCATTGGACTCTGGTATTTCCTTAATCATTCGACGAACTTTCAGTAAGATTTCTATTTTTCTTTTGCAGGAAAGGTGAAAACAAGATGGGTATTGGACGACTACCTTTACCGCCAGAAACCACCCGCTTGAAATTTTTGCACAGTAATTTTTCAGAAGTCGATAAACTTTCTAATAATTCTTCCTGATTATTAGGATCCGAAAAATCTTTAAGATATGTCGAAGTTTTTAAATATTGTATCTCTCCAATTCTTTTACGGTTTAATACTAATACTAAAGCCATAATGCTTCTTGCCAACTTTTTGTAATTAAAAATTATTGTTTGTTTGTTATATTCGTTTTTGTCATTTTCAATAGCCTGAGCAAGTAATACGGAACTTGTTTAAACTTCTTTTCTAACATAATTATTAAATTTGACAATGTCATTTGTAACTGGTATTATTTGTGGTTTTTCCCAGTGCTTTTCAGTCATGTCTTTCAAAGCTAAAGATGATATTTCAGTTGCCCAATGATCTTCTATCAGTTTTTGTAAGTGTTTTATGTTATTTAGTTCTAAGTTAGGATTTTTGAAAGCAAAAAGTTTTGACTTTTTAATAATATGTTGGTGAATAATGTTGCACAATTGCTTTAAATTAGTACCCATGTGTAACGCAAGTGACGAAGCTTTAAATGATTTTTTATCTGGATTAAATCCAGCAATTATTTTCGTAGCAGCAATTAGATCATCGAAAAATTCAGGTTTCATAACTTCAATCAATTTTTTCACTTCAATAATTTTATTTTCGTCGTTTTTCACACCTATTATATCTTTTAAAGCTATTAGCAGTCTTGCTAATTCACGCATTTTGTTAGATGTTACCGTTGCAATTTGCGGTCGTTTATGTTTTTTTATATGTGTCTCGCCAAACAAACAAATTAATAAATCATTTTTAGCTACTTCACTTATTTTGTCTGGCATCATGATATCGAAGACTTCTTTTTTAAGGCGAGATTTTAAAAGGAAATCGTTTTGACTACGAGCAGCTGCTAAAAATGTTTGCGACTGAGATAGGGCATAAAGTCTACCCATTTGTTGTTTTCCAGTTTCTCGACCTGGACATCTCGTAGCGTGCCTACTCAATGTTTTCTTTTTATATACACCACTGCATGAACTACAAACTGCAAAATCATCAAAACTTTTAGCATATTTTTTATTTTCATTTTCAGTTGGTCGACGAACTGCAATAACTTTTTTTTCTTCTCTAAACAATGCAAAATTCCCTTATTTTCTAAGACAATCCCACAATTCCTTTCGCTCAATACTGCCAAGTGGAAGAGACAAAATTTTTCTAACTTTTGCCTCATCAGCATGTTTTCGCTCTATATGCCGAGCAAAATGGGTCTGTTCCGTAAAGCAGAAAGGGCATAGATTTTTTCTGTCCCAAATTCTATGCTTTCTTCTAGAAACATCAACTTGTTTATTGATTGGCGAAACCTATATGTAGAGTTAATATAAGTTAAAACATATCATTTATAAGAAACCTTTGACAGTCAAGTTCTCAATTCACTACCATAATCACATAAGGTTGTATGTGAAAATTTTATGGTTGTGACTTATAATAAGTATCAGTATGTGCACAAATTGCAGAACTATAGTGTGACAGAAGACAGAAGGCTGTAGGTGAGACTGAAAACAAAAAAAAAGTTATGCAAAAAACGATTAATGTGTGTGTAAAATTTCTGCTCTTTATTTTCACATAATATGGCATGTGGCACATACGCACAAATGACAACGCATTGTCATAGTATTGAAACAAAGTAGGTAACTCGTATGCAAACAAAATATCATTTTACCGGGAAAAAAAACTATCTTAATCGACATAAGGTTGCATGTAGCAACATACGACATTATTTCAGGAAAGGTTTGTTGCTGTCAAGTCGGTATAAGGTTGTATGAGCCAGTTAATTCATAACATACTGAATACTATTTTATTTTAAAACTGCGTATGTGTGCTCATACAACTTTATGTCGAAGCGAACTTTACAAGTCAATTCGGACAAATAACAAAATGAATCACATACGACTTTCTGTCATCTACCAATAGCTCTATTGCAGTGATGGTCTGTGATTGCAGTAGAATAAATCTATCACAGTTTTTGTTCTAGATTACGTTAGTAGATGGTTTTGGCCGATCGTAGCTCCTCATCCGCATCCGCGTGACAGGTGATAAGTTACGGGCATTTGGTGACAGGTGATTTATGTTGCAAATTGTGAGACGCTAATATATTTTTACGCCATGTGTTATGGATTAATTGCAGATTACTTGATTGCAGATATATATAATTGCAGATTACTTGATTGCAGAAATGGATTAAATATTCCTACCAGAGAGTAATTAGTATATTTGATCATAATTGCTTTTTTTCTTTAATGTCAGTCATAAATTTAATGTTTATTAACTTTTAATTGTCATTATAATAAAAATATAGTTGTCAAGATAATAACATTTATTTAACGTTTAAGTTATACAATTGATGAAGAACAGTAATTATAAATAAATATTGACAGTTATTGATTAGGTTCCATTTCACCATCTTCCTCTCCCTTGTGTAGAACTTCTTCCACTACATTCAGATTATCCTCCCCCCAGTCTCATTGCCCTCGTCAACGTCACTATCATATTTGTCGTCATTGAGTATTCTTGCTAAATATTTTTGAAGATGCAACGGAAGAAAGTGTTCGAGTTGTAAAATAAAAGGGGTTAAATGAAGTTCGTGCAATGTGTGTACTAGTACATCAATATTAATTTTACTGGCTAAATATCTTTCACAAGTATTGTATGCACAATTTAAAGTTTCAGCTTGATTTCTGCGTCCTGTTGTAGAATAAAGTCCATCCATACCATAGTCTGCTCCATGTTCTGCGTTAAATGTTAGACTAGATAGTAGAGTTTGTAGGTGAATAACTGCACTGTTTAAGTCAACAAGTTCACTGTCAATATCACT